GCTGTACACTAATCAACAATTCCTATACCTGTCTATTATTGTTCATTACTTCACTAGTAATGGTTAACTGGTTTTTGTTGGCTGTTGTTTAAAGATTACACTAAAATAACAGACATTAACAGCACTTAATAAATCGTTTGAATTTATTCGACCGAATCATTCACAAAAAATATTGAGAAAAATCATACAATTATAACAATCAATACATTTATATTTGGCAATAAATTCATTAGAATCGATGGATTGGTGCCAATCGCGGCTTTGAGAGCGTCTCCTCTTTATGAATGCCCTCACAAGTGAGGGCTGGGCTGACCAACTCCTCGTCCCCGCAGTTGATTAGTCGCGGATTGTTGTCCACACAAGTGATGATCGCGTGATTGTTGTAGAAATATCGGGGAAACGGATAGTACTTATTGGTCTTGTCTTCGTGCGGACACGAAAAGCCGAGCAAATTATCGGAACTGCAGCCAACTTTGTCGGGCCAATTGCAGCCTTTGATGCGGTCGTCGTAAAACAGACCCTTTTGGCACTCCTTGCGCTCCGGGATTCCCCACAAACACTCAGAGAAGTAGATATTACAGACATTTGGATCGCCCTCATTGAATATACCGAACTGATAGGGACAACCGTGCGTTGAGATGGGATCAGCTGCAGAGATACCAGACATGCAATACATGTTATTCGCAATTCAAAAATATAAATTTGGAAACATTGAAATGTATGGCAGACACGAAATATAGCGAAATCGCGTGACATATGTATTGAGACATAAGGGAAGGGAGACATGAGGTTACGTACGAAGGGTTCTGTCTTTGCAGTCGACTTTCCAGTGATAGGCGCAGAAGCCATAGACCGCGCCGTCGATGGCGTGCGCCAAACCGTTTGGACAGAATTCGTGGGTTAGAGTGCCGTTTGTGCAAAGATAGTACTGTTCGCATGCCTTCGGGTGTTCGTAAGCGTATATGCCTTCAGGCGGACAATGAAACTGACCTGTTATTGACGGACCAAATATGATAACATTTTTTGTCAATATTTTTATCTTTATGTAAATATATTTCACACGAAATGATAGACAATTTTGAAAATTAACGAAACAAATGCTTACCAAAAGCGAAGCCAGCGTTCAGTGAAATAACGCTAAAAACAGTGAATTGAATTAAATTCATGTTTTTATTTCTGCTTCAAAATGTATAATAAATTAAATATATATTATGTGCTTAAAAATATTAGTGTCTAATGAAATAAATTGTGTGAAAGTTTTACTAAAACTTGTTCTCTATCTCTCTATCCCTGGAAATGGTTTGTGTTTTAGAAAAGAGAGCCAATTATAATCAAATGCAAACTCCATATCACAGGCTATGAGTTAATGTAATGAGTGATAAAATGTTGGGATAATTAGAGCATTAGAACAAACATTAACTACAACTTTGCGGTCAGTCGTCCTTAATTTGTTCCACTTTTGTGCTTCATTTACTTCACGCATAGATTTAGTTCACATAAGCGATTGCAGTGTCGGTGGAGAGGGCTTAACCAAACTTCACCAACAGGTATGGGAACCGCTATACACCTCCCAATCCAAGGTCTCTTTCCTACCTGTTGTCGACTGTTGTCGAGTCAAAACTTGTTGTATAGAAGAATCCAACACTTTATTCCCAATGATTGTTTCAATTTGTCTCAAACCGATTCCTAATTCGACCTTAACTTCTATTATAACTGGCCTTCAATTGTTAGCTATATTTCGTATAATTAAAGAATTAATCTTTCATTTCAATGCTTATTAAAGCTCAAGTAATCCGTATTACATATTATACAATATTTTTATAGCTGTTAAACGCTATTAAAACATATTATTTTAGTTTTGAGATTCAATTCCTAGAATTCATTAAATGTTAAAGAATAATTCCAAGGGAAATAAATGAGCATGATGCTATTATATCAATACATTATGTAGTCTTATTATGGCGTGTGTTTTGCTGCTGGAATTAAATTCTTTCATTGTTAACAAAATTAATTAAAGTAAAATACTTTCATATTCAACATAATATTATCTTTTAAATTCTCAAATAGTTATTGATATTTTAGAATTTATTCATATACCGGTTATTAATATAGTACATTAATATACAGTATACTGTTGTCGTACATAGTCATGAGATGTCAATCTCATAATTAAATCATTATTGCTATTTAGTAAGAATTTATAATGGTTACATATAATTGAATTTAATTGTAACAACTAGTAAGTATAATTTATAGTTTATTAAATTCTAAATAATGTGCTTGAATGATGTGTTCATTTAACTGTACCGTATTCTTTCCCTTTAGGCCCCATAGGGTGTTAAGTGAGGGGTACAGTACCTGACTCGGGTAAACTTTAAAATAGCATGGGGTGTTAACTAGGTACAGGTGTATACCACCACCTAAAGTGAAAGAATACGATAATAATTTACCTAATAATACGGTACCAAAAGTAATTTACTAATATTAATCACAATAATCTATTGATGTGACAAATATAACACAAGTTTAATGCAAATATAATAGCTTTTATTAGTTCATACATAAGTTTTAAATTATAATTCAATTGGTTTAGAATACAAAAAAAGAATAGTTTTAGTAGATTTATACAGTAATACAATTGTTTACACTAATCCTACTTTACTTTACGGCATAATATTAACAAAACATTGACTGATAAATCAGTTTTAATTGTTAAATAAGATTTTAAAGTTATTTGATAATTGATAAACTGATTATACAGTCGTTTAGTGACTAAACTTTAGTCCTATATTAGAATAATTAGAAATTTTCAAAATGAAAAATATATATTGGATTCCCGTTTCGTCAATAAATAAAAACGAAACAATAGTTTAATTAAAATTGGATTAAAACCTATCTAATTATAAATATCTATCATTTATTTGGTTAATAAATAACAAACATTTTCATAATTGGCTAATAATAATAATAAATAGAAATTAATTTTGTTGTTTCTCTATATTCTTCATCACTTTTTTCCTCAAATGTTCTTTATATGTCTGAATAGTTCCGTTCCATTTAGTAGTGGTTCCCTTCTCGCAAACCCAGATCTCTTCGGCCACCTATCAGTACAATAAGACAATTAGTGGTTAAATTCATTAAAACAATACAATGTGTGGTATCGACAGCCATACCTGACTGATAAGTCTGAAGTCATGGCTCACTAAAACCATTCCTCCCTCAAAGTCTTTGATAGCGTCGGCCAAAGCGTCGATGGTTTCGATATCTAAATGATTGGTCGGTTCGTCCATAAGGAGAAGGTGTGGCACCTGCCACGACAGCCACGCAAACACCACACGACATCTCTGCCCATCAGACAATTGTC